CGAGATGTAGTATCAGTCTGGAAGATGGACTGCCGGGCTCAGGCTTGTCCTCATCTCAGCCTCCAAACTCCTGCAACTCCTTACAGTGCCTTGCAGGGACTCCATGGTGATATGACTTTGTAGATGTTTGCATACTCGCCTGCAAGCCCAAATGCCCAGTTCAAGTGCCACCTCAGATTCTGCTGTAGTGGCTCTAAGGGGCATGAGGAAAGAAAGACGGAAATTAAGACTTTGTAATGGCATAGGACATGCCTGTATTAAAAAGTTCAGAGGAACAACATTGATCTCCTCTAAAGAAAGACAACAGAAAAAAAATATTGGAAGAAAATACATTAAATTGTAGGCAGTGGTTGTCTCTGGGTTTTATTATGAGTAGTTCTTTCCTTTAGACTTCTGGACTTCTCACACCAATTTTCTATAATATATGTATAGAATATATGTAATCTATAATAATAAAAGGGTAATATGCAAATTAACCAAGCGGCCGAACAGCAAAACAATCATCGGGATGACCTTCCGGATGAAGCCGGGGCTATGAGGGATGAGGCAGCTGGGGCTGTGAAGGTCTACCCTTACACAAATTTCATGCATCGGGCCTAGTTCTATAATCTATACTAATAAAAGGGTAATATGCTAATTAAGCCGGTTCGACCGGACATCTTCTGGACATCCGACTTCCTTCCAGACAAAGCCACAGTGGCGGGGGCTGAGGCAGAGGCAGTTGGGGCAATCAGGCCAGCAGGGGAGCAAGCAGTTAGGGGTGAGATCAGGCTGACAAGGGGGAGCAAGCAGTTAGGGGTGATATCAGGCCATCAGGGGAGGGCAGCTGGGGGTGATCAGGCAGGGAGGCAGAGGCAGTTAGGGGCGATCAGGCATGCGGGCAGGTGAGCGGTTAGGAGCCAGCGGTCCTGGATTGTGAGAGGGATGTCCGACTGCCAGTTTAGGCCCAATCCCCCCGAGGGGTCCTAGATTGGAGAGGGTGCAGGCCAGGCTGAGGGACACACATGCCCCATACATGAATGTTGTGCACCAGACCTCTAGTATAAATATAAATGTATGTTATTTTTATAAACAGAGAGAATACACCTATTTTTGTTTTCCCAAATCATTCAATTTGGTTGGGCAAATTCAGCAAAACCTTTTAAAATTAACAGTTCAGCAAACATTTTAAAAATGATACCCCCTTAATTGCAAACTCCACAGACTTCCAGCCCTCCCCAGTGGAGCAGGATTTCATTTACATGAGTTAAGGCAGCATTTACCCAGCAGGAGGTCCTGGGGAATTCTGGGCTCAGCATCCTCATTTATTGGGCCTAGCCCTTTCCATACATTTCCATGTTGTTCCTATTACAATCCCTGGAACTAGTGGTTTTCACCCCCATTTTACAAACATAAAATTGGGCTCCCTGCATTCAATAGATGGTAGGTTGATCTGCTACTTTCAAATTCAGGGGGATGATCTCAAATCGTGTTCTGTCCTCTATTCCAGTAATTTCCCAACAGATCTTAAGCTGTGAAACCCTTGGTTCAAACAAATGCCCCCCTGATGTATAGTTTGCTAGTGTAGTAGGATAAGAAGAAGCCAGGAAAATTTCAGGGCAGGAGGAATAGGGAAACGGAGACAAGAAAATTAAACAAGGCCAAACAGTTTGGGCAGCTTGCAGCCAGTTTGCAGCAAGATCTAATTTTCCCCATATAAGGACACTTTAGAACGAAAGGCTAATGTCTGTCCTCCCTAACCAAAGAATACATAGCTTAAATCACCCTGGAGCTGCTAAGGCAGGGCAGGGGGGAAAAGAAAGGAAAGAAGGGAGAGTTTGTCTCACCAACTAAACAAAGAAGTCAGCCATTTTTTTGGAAAGGGGGAGTGAAAAGGAAGTTTTTATCTCACTGCTTAAGCAGAGAAGCCAGCAGTCTTGGGGCTTGTCAAAATGAAATTGCCAGATGCTTCTCATAAATTCTGGAAAGCCACACACACACACACACACACACACACACACACTACAAGGGAGACCTTGAGATCTAGTCTGTACCAAGTTATCTGGCAAAGGAACTTTAAAACCTACAAGCAGAAAAGTATAAAAGGTTAAACCTCTACCAGGCAATGCTCCTCTGAGTCTGTGCTTCATTAGCCAGATGTATTTTGATAGATTTGCTTGCCTTGCCCCTTTAATAAATTTACTTGCTTTATTTCTTTAGTAAACTCACTTTACAATGCTGCTGTCTGTCACTCATTTGAATTCCTTTTCATGAGACTGACAAGAAGTGAGGAGGGGGAAGCCCTCTCCCTCACACTCAGGGGGCTGTCCAATAACACCTTTTTCTGGTGTTTCTGGTGCCTATAACACTAGGAATGCCATAACAAAGTAGGCAGACTGGGCAGCTTAAACAACAGAAATTTAGTCTCACAGCTCTGGAGGCTGGAAGTCCAAGATCAAGGTGTTGGCAGGATTGGTTTCTTCTGAGGCCTCTCCGCTTGGCTTTCAGATGGCCACCCTCTTGCTGACTCTTCACATGGTTGTTCCTCTCTGCACGTGCACACCTCGTGTCTCTTTGTATGTCTAGATTTCCTTTTCTTATAAGAACAACAGCCATGTTGGGTTAGGGTCCATAGTAATGACCTCAGTTTAATTAATCGCTACTTTAAAGTCCCCATATCTAAATACTGAGGTACTGCCCTAGCTGGTTTGGCTCAGTGGATAGAGCATTAGTCTGTAGACTGAAGGGTCCCAGGTTCGATTCCAGTCAAGGGTACATGCCCGGGTTGTGGGCTTGATCCCCAGTACAGGGCATGCAGGAGTCAGCCAATCAATGATTCGATCTCATCATTGATGTTTCTATCTCCCTCTCCGTTCCTCTCTGAAGTCAATAGAAATATATTTTAAAAAAGAGAAAATACTTAAGAAAATAGTATAATAAAACACCACAAATGAGGTCATTTCTGTGACAATAAGATAGAGCCATGAGTGAATTTAAAATGAAGACTGTCACATTTCACCTGATATATTCCTCAGCCTGGCATTCAAGTTCCTCTGTGTGGGCAGAAGAAACTGACTTTTTTTCCCCTTATTAAGTTCTCACATTGAAAGGCTAGAAATCACCCCATGAAGTAGTAATCTTTGTCCTTATATATTTATATTCAAAGGTGACATATTGAGTATTTGTGTCATAATTAGCATATTTGGCACCTGGGTAGTGGATTATTTTTCAACATCTTCCTTCTCTATACAACAAAATTACTTTTGGTAATAGTAAAAAAGTAGTCAGTAATAATCATTATTACTATCTTGATTTTTCCTTTAGCTTAACAATTTACACTACTAAAAAAATAAATTTTAGCCCTGGCCAGTGTGGCTCAGTTGGTTGGGCATCATCCCATGTACCAAAAGTTTGCTGGTTCTATTCCCAGGGCACATGCCAGGGTAGAGGGTGTGCAGGAGACAGCTGATAGATGTTTCGCTATCACATTGATGTCTCTCCCTTTCTCTTCCTTTCTCCCTAAACATCAATAAAAATGTAAAATAATTCATTCAAATTCAGTAAATTATTGCACTCATGAACTAAATTTGCACTTATGAAACCAAAATATTATACCATATACTATGTACATTTTCACTGGTTTAAATTTTAAACACAAGTAAAACTCCAATTGGTCACACAGAATGACTTAGTTACTGTAATTCATGCTCTGTTTCTTCTGTATTTACAAGTACTATGTTATCCTGGCAGATTTTGAATCAACTGTCTAAACAGGGAATGTGTATTATTATAAGGGTTGGAGAATGAACTACACCTAAAATGAGCTTTAATGATTCTGAACCCTTAAGAACTTTCTTTCAAAACAAATGTGTGGCATCCCACTGCATCCCAGAGTTCCCTGAATGTACTTCCAAGTACAAGGCTTATTACAAAGATAAGGAATAAAAATGTGCCATTGAAAGCTTACATAACCATATGGTGGTCAGTGGTCAGTAGTTGGTGTGTGTCACTGCTTTGAGTTGGCAGATAGCTTCCTATGGCCAGTGTGCCTCAGTTGGTTGGAGCATCATCCCTTACATGGAAAGATTACAGGTTCAATTCCCAGACAGGGCACATACCTAGTTTATGGGCTCAATCCCTGGTAGAGGCACATATGGGAAGACAACCGATTGATGTTTCTCACATCTATGTTCCTCTCTCCCCCACCCCTCTTTCCTTTCCCCTCTCTCTAAAACATCAATAAGCATGTCATCAGGTGCAGATTAAAAAGAGAGAGAGCAGCCAAGACAACCTTGAAGAAGGATAAAGCTGGAAGACACACTTTTCTATGTCTGTTATAGTTCAATTTTTTAAAAAGTGGATAAAATAGTAGATATGTCATACGGCTTTCAGTGGGGAAGGGGGTACCCTGGGGGTAGGGGTACTGTGTTGGGGGGTAGTGTCCCTATTTCCCGGAGCCTCTGAGAGAGCCTGGACTATCTTCACCTTTCTCTGTTCAAACTATTTGTGCTCTGGGCTTTCCCAATGCCTTTTCCTGCTTGGTTCACCTGCTGACTTATCTAGAGCTGTGAACCTAGTGTTGCGGTAGACCTTCTAGCCTGTTCCTAGCTCTGCACTCAGTCTCAAAGCCCATTCCTCCTCCTCACCCCAGGAGGTAATGAACACCAGGCATGTAGCAGGCACTGAGTAAATACTGGTGCCAGACTGCAATATGGTAGGATCCCATGGTCAAAGGTAATTGGGTCATTTAAACAAACAGGCAAAGAAAAAGAAAAACTAAATGATGGCACACTCCTGTAACCAAGGCTATTCAATGGATGTAGCCTCCCCCAGAACAGCATGTGAGAACCACCAGTGAGACTGGCCGGCTTTCAAAGAAGCTCAGCACTCACGCTATGAAGCTGCTCACTTCTGTAGCCCCACGTGAAAGCCATGTGGGTATGAATGTTGGAGGTAGGGGTGGAGAGGCATGAAAGAACATGAAACTTTATGCAACCTAAAGAAGGGACAAGGACAAGCACTTGGGTTTTTTCTTTTAATTATTTACCAGATAAAAAAGAAAAAATAGTGATTGTATCTCTTCCCTCCCTACATTTCAGTTGACCCAGGTCCAGTGGGAGAGACATTTGTTGAAAGGTGATTTGAGCTCCTGGCCTGGGGCAAACTCTTCCCCTCGCCCACACCACCTCAGGTGGGGGGCCAGGAGCGGCTCCAGGCAGGACTTGCATGGTGGCAGCAAAGTGGCAGTGTGGCTGTCCTCCTCTTCTCCCTGTTGCCACAGCATTCAGACTCCCTCCTGTCTGTCCCACTACGCCATCCTCCCCCATTCATCAAAGGAGTAGGAAGATGGGGCTCGAGGAGGCAGGGACAGGTGGAGAGCAGGACTGGGAGGCACGTAGCAGATCCAACAGAAGGCCCTGATCTTCTGCTTCTATTGCACAGCCTGGCTTAGGTCCCCTGCCCTGAGCAGTGGGCACAGAGCAAAATGCTACTGAAATTCACAGAACCTGTTGTTGTGTCGGGCTCAAGGAGGGGAGGTGTGTTGTTGTGTGGCTTGTTCTGATATATGTGTCTCAAATTATTCCATGATGGGGCAAGGCAGATTATGCCTCTTTAAAAAAGCATACGGGATTTGGACACTTGGGGCCCTGCAGTCACCTGGGCTTCTCCCTTTCAAGTTCAAAAGTCCAAGAATAACCCTTTCTCCAGCCAGATCTTCCTGCTTAGAAGAGGCAACAGCGACCACCACCACACAAGCTCCCTCCACATGTCATGCTTCTCAGCCACTCAGGGTGACCTCTTTTTCTGAACACCTGGAGAATTTGACAAATGACCCTAGAAAAGAACCTTTTACACTGTATGTTTCTGCATAAAGTGGCAGCTGTTTGATTCTCATTCTTCTCTTTACCAATGAAAGAAGAGTGGGACTGGATCAAGTTCCTTAACTGACCTTACAGACAGAATACATTCCTCTAAGAAACAGTGGGGGTGGGGGGAGAAGACTGATTTTGATTTAGCAAAGCTGCAAAACTTTCACCTCCATTGGTGGGTAAAGACAAACCTAACTGAGCCAACGGCAAGAACTGCAGGCTATGAGAGACGACAGGGCAAACACAGAACTGTATAAATTGTGGCACTATAAAGATGACAGGCAGGTCCACAGCCAGCTGGGAGCAGGCCTCTGGAGCACGCGTCCAGAAACGATCTGTCCTGTAGTACGTGGCAGCATCCAGATAAATCAGAGCGGCTCTCCTTCCTCCTCTGAGGGTTTCCATTTAAATAACTATGTACACACATACAAGCCGGTCTCTCTTTTATAGGAAGGTCCTTCACTTGAGGGTCAAACAATGGCTTAGAGAGTCGGTTCCAATTGCCTTTTTGGAGATTTCCTGCTTGGGACCAAACCTGCAGGGAGAAAAAATGATGAACGTGATACCAGGAAGACCTTTAAGATGGAAGCATCCCAGTGTGAAGGCACTGAGTCCTAATACACACAAGAAACCCGCAGCTCCCTCACCGGGCTCTGGGACCCTGGCAACTAAGTAACTGGGCTGGGACTCATCAACCCTGTGTGGCTCTGGTCAGCCAGAGGGCCCCAGGCCCACCAGCAGCCCTGGGATACAGCTCCATACCTCCATCTGATAAGGACAGTTTCTCAAGTTCAGCTTCAAGTTCAGCGTCCGAGATCCTAGGGATAGGCACACTGTTGGTATAAAACAACTCATGGGGGTTGTCGGGCAGATCCAAAGGTTCTTTGGTGGTATCCTGAAGAAGGATGTCCAATTCCTTCTCTAGTTCCTCATTGTCAAAATCTGGAAAGAAAAGACAATATGAGGACATATACTGTCCAGGGAGAAAATGCATTTAGGAGTCAAGGACTGAGACCAGCACAACTCAGCTCAGCTTTATCAAGGAAGTCCAAGCCTGCTCTGGCTGGGTGGCTCAGTTGATTGGAGCATCGTCCTATATACCAAAAGGCTGTGGGTTCGGTCCCTGGTTGGGGCGCATGCAAGAGGCAACTGATCGATATTTCTCTCTTACATCGATGTTTCTCTCTCTCTCTCTCTCTCTTCCTTCTTCTTTCTAAATATATCCTTGGGGTGGTGAGGCTTTAAAAAAAAGTCCAGGCCTCCCTGCAGGTAAAAGAAAAAAATCATGTGGCTGGCTGGTGTGGCTCAATGGGTTGAGTGTCATCCCATGCATCAAGAGGCCGTTTGTTAAATTCCTTGTCAGGCGGGGCACATGTCGATTGTCGGCTCGATCCCCAGTAGGGGCATGCAGGAGGCAGCCAATCAACGTTTCTCTCTCTCCCTCTCCCTTCCTCTCTCTCTCTCTAAAATCAATAAAACATATTTTTAAAAAAGAAGGTGTATTTTGCTAACTCCACAGAACTGACCCTGCTTCCTCCTGCCTGTGAAGGAGCATCTTCCAGTCAGAAGCCTAGTCAGTAAGGGGCGCTGGAGCACAGCGGGAGGAACTGACAACTCCTCCCGAGCAGCCTGTGAATAAGCCCCAGGGAGAGGGCAGGGAAGGAGAGCCCTGCCTGCACCAGGAAGGCAGATCCATGACCAAACCTACCCAAGTACAAGGGAATGAAGTCCTCGTAGGAAGGAAGAACGAACGAACCACAGTGTCCACTCACCTAAGCCATTGGTTACCCCACCAGCCAGAGTCTGAGAAACTTCATCCTGGGTGTCACACAGCTGTAAGGGAAAAGCACAGGCCTTGAACTGAGTGCTATCTCTTTGGGTCTCAGTGTTCAGGGTTGCAAAGTAATGCTATCTCATCTGAAAATCAAGGAAGGCTTCCTCAAGTTCACAAGAGAGAGAGGCCAGCCTGGGGAGAGGAAACGAGAGAGTCCCATCTGCCCTCAGGACTGCCTTCTGCAGAGTCCCTCCCAGCGCCTTCCCGCACCTCCTGAATCTGGTCCACGAGGCTCTCCGCCTTCTCCACTGTGACATCCTTCATGGAGAGTTTTAGGGCTCCTACCCCAGCCTGATAAGCGTTGAAAACCTAAGGAGAAAGCAGTTATTAGTGCAAATGAAGAACATTGGACAAATTCATACAATGTTGTTTCTCTCCAAAGGATAGCTTTGGGGTCTGAAGGTTGTGGGTTATTGTTAAGCTGATTAACATTGTTTCATCTCCAAGAACAGCTTGGGTGTTTTTTTGCTACCCAGGCTTGATTCACCCCACGTCCCCTGGGGCCAAAGCTTCCCAACAAAAGAGGCTCAGGCAGCCATATCCTTAAAGAACCCAGGCCTCCTCCAAACAGCAGAGCTGCAGGGGAGGGGATGAGAGGGTGCCGGACGGACCAGACAAGTGCTGGGGCAGCGGGGCAGTGGCTACCATCTGATCCGTCTGGGAGGCATAGATCCGGTCCAGGATGCCTTGAACAGTGTCCAGCTTGGCATGCAGGGCCTCAATGCGCTTCTCCGTCCGTTGTTTGGCTTTGAGAGACCTCAGTGCCTAGGGGAGCATGGAGACTTGGTCAGACTGGGCAGAATGAAGGGCCAGAGGAAGACAGCTGTTCCCAGATGCTAAGATCATCCCAGGCCTCCTTCCCTCCCATTTGTAAAATAAGCTGTGGTGCCTGGGCCACCCTCTCTGACTGCTGAGGCACCTGTCACTGCCAGCCCAGGGCGCAGGTACACAGCTGGGGGGGAAAGAGAAAACTTACCAGTTGCTTCTTTCCTGCTCGGCATGCTCGGCGGGCTTCTTCCTTACACCTATGAAGCAAAGGGACAGAGCGGGATGACAATGCATAGGATGGGGTGGAGGTACCTCCAGATCTGAAGATCCACACATTCCACCCAATAGCAAGAAAAATGATGCCCGACAGCTCACTGCCAAACTCTTGCAAGTTGAGAAATAAGCCCGAGAACCCAAAGGGGGAGAGAGCATGCCAACAAGGCCTCTGAGAGCCAGGAGTTCGGAATTAGATATCTAACACCAACGACGACTTTGGACACATCCCGTGGGTTTCTCCCAGGTAAGATGGAGTGAACAAGTACATCTTAATCCAGTGTCTATAAATCCTACTTTTTAGAGAAGTGTTCTGTGGCACAGATGCCTTGTACGGTCATGGTCATGCGAGGGGAAGAGCAGGAGTCCCTCAGACACCTCTCAAAGGCAGAGACTTGTCTCATTCACTATTGTATCCAAGTCCTCAAGACAAGGCCTAGCTCAAAAAATATTGGGTAAATGGATACTGGTGTGGGAGAGCATAAACATAATGTGATTGGTCATAATCTTTGGCGGAAGACTTAAAATTCATTTTTCCTCCTTTGTGATATTCTGTGTAGTGAGTAGTTTTGTAATTAACAACAACAAAAGATAACCCTTTTATTTTAAAGAGCCCACGGACACCAATTCTTTGCTGGCTGTGGGCAGCAGGGTGGGTTGGGGCACTCGGCTCAGGGTAGTTACCTCTCTGCTTCCTGGGATAAGGACTCCACTTTGCGCGAGAGCAGCTGTTCACTCTGCATCAGCTGGTACACCCCAACATCTACGTCGTTGACAGGAGAGACCTTGGCATGTGGCCCCCGGGCAAACTTTACAATCTAAGGGACAGGGACAAATTACTGCCGCCCCTCCCACAAATGCTGAGACATCCCCAGGCAGGAATGCTGGTGGCATGTCTGCACATCCTCAATGAGTCATCGGGGAGTCAGTGAGTGAACAGCTGAACTCCATACCTTTTCCCCATTCTGCTCGAGGACTGTGACTCTCTTCTCTTTCTGTAGCTGCAGCAACACCAAGTAGAAGGTCCTCTCGTCGGGACAGGGGCCCACACAGAGGGTGCTCAGCTCCGACAGGGCCACCACAGGGTGGGAGGAGAGAGGGGAGTTCTGATACAGACGATACACCTCCTCAGCCTTCTCCTGCAGGGAAAGCAAAACATGCTCACAGGCCTGACCACCACCCACAGAAGCCAGTGAGCCCTGACCCCCTGCTTCCAAACAACAATCACTTAGGGCAAAAGCAGAGGGTGCCATACTGTCTTCCCTAAAGTGGCAGCTTTGGAAAAGAAACAGGATTTGTGTTTTTTAAACGCTGGAGGAGTTCGGTGAATATGGATGAAATGAGGTACATGATATACTGGAAGCCAGCTGTGCTTGCACCTCATCTGGGACTTTATATTTAGGTGTCTCCCTGGCGCATGGTTCCCCAAGGGAAGAATGAGCGGTGCGGTGTGGTGGAATGGCCAGGAACGACAGCTGATGCCTGGTTTCAGCCCAGCCTGTGCAACCCCAAACCAGTCAGTCTCACTGGTGCTCAGCATCCCGCTCACAAACTGAAGGCCTCTAAATTCCCTTCCAATCTTGGTCTTTCCCTTTGTATGCCAACTGGCAATACTGCAAATGAGAACATTATTGTTCTCAAGAGAGAATATGAGACAAAGAGGTAGGACAGGGTTTTTGCGAGAAGTCTAAGAAATAAAGATTTCAAGAAATAATGCCCCTGTGTTCCTCCTACATGCAAATTACTCTCTCAGTTTTCTGCACACCAGAAATATTTACTGAGGTATTCACAGAACACTGTGAAAATATAGGGAGGGAATATCCAGGAATTTGGGAGGAGAGAGGAGAGTTCTGATACAGATGAGGTTGATATAGGAGGTCGTTTGGCAACAAATGGTTGTTGCAGGGTGAGTGAGTTTCTAGGTGAAGCAAATGGGCTGGGCATTTCAGGAAGAAGGGTGATCAAGAGCAATGGCACGAAGGCTGAGTCAACATGGTATTTATAGGTCAGATGGGAAGGGGAAAGAGTAGAAGCTCTTCCATCTTGTACAAGTGTAGTATCTCCTATGCTGTCCTTCATTTGGCAGATGGTGGGGAGTCAGTGAAGGGAAATGACATGGTTAGATTAACGGAGATCTAGCTGACAACTGGGAAAGGATGGGTTGTAGGAGTTAGGCTTAGAGGAAGGGGAAACATTTAAGCAAGAGGATATGAGGGACTGAACAGAGACAGAGAAAGGATGGATTCAAACAACATTTAGAATATAAAGCGGGCAGGCCATGGTAACTGGGTGTGAAGTCTAGCAAGACTCCTGGGTTTTGGCTTGAATGACTGGGTCAATATGATCCTATTAGTTAACAGCAAGAATACAGGAGTAGAAAACACATTTTAAATGAAAGATAAAACATTCTATGTTGGATATGTTAGTTTAGGATGCCTGAGGTACATCCAAGAAAACCTATATAGCAGATAAATGGATATACAAATCTGAAGCTCAAGGAGATACCCAAACAGGAGATAGAAGGTAATTAAAATCACAAGGAAATTCATAGAGTGAAGTAATAGACTGAAGGAAGACCAACATTTAAGAGATGAAGGAGCTCACAAATGAGATCCAGAAACACTGCTCAGGAAGAACCAAGGAGAACCCACGGTATAATGACAACAAAGTCAAGGAAATGGAAAATGTTAAGGACTGGTCAACAGTGTCAAAGGCAGCAGAAGAGTCTACTAAGATACAACCTAAAGTTTTCCTTGGATTGACTGCCCCAGCAGATAACAACCCTTAGTATAAAGTTACAGGATGGTATCAATACACAAATAGATAAATGGCACACAACATTTTAAATGAGTGATGTTAAAACAACGAGTTATCCATTTGGAAGAAAATAGTTTTTCCTCACCACATATACAAAAATAAATACCAAATTATTGAACTTTAAATGGAGAAAATGAAAGTGTAAAATAATCTGAAGAAAATATTTTTAAAATGTTAAAGTAGAAGATGCCTTCCTAAGCAAGACCAGAAATTCAGTAGCCATAAAGAAAAATTTGAGCCTGGCTGGCGTGGCTCGGTGGTTGAGTGTCGACCTATGAATGATGAGGTCATGGCTCCATTCCTGGTCAGAGCACATGCCTGGGTTGCGGGCTCGATCCCCAGTGTGGGGTGTGCAGGAGGCAGCCAATCAATGATTCTCTCTCATTACTGATGTTTCTATTTCTCTCTCCCTCTCCCTTCCTCTCTGAAATCAATAAAAATATATTTTTTAAAAAATGGAAACATCTGACTACAGAAATAGGAAAATTTCTATATGGTAAAGACATCATACATAAAAATAAAAAGCAAACAAGAGACTGAGAAACAGTATTTATAGCCCTAAACCTAAATACACATACACACATATACATCATACATAGACAATTCCTATGAATTAATATAAAAGATTAACAATCCAATATAAAAACTGGATATAAATAGGCAATTCACAGAAGGGGATATGTAAATGGCTAATAGATAGTTGAAAAGATGCTCAAACCCTTTGATTTGATGAAGTATCATTTTTGTTCATCAAATTGGCAAATTTTATAAGACTGATATTATCCAGTACTGACGGAGAATGTGGGGAGACTGGACACTTAATGTAGTCTTAAAGAAAGTGCAAATTAGTACAAATTTCTGAAAAGTAATTTGACAATTTGTTATAATGTAAAATGTACATATACAATTCCAGAAGTCAATTTCATAAAAATAAAAGAAGTACATAGATGTACAGACAAAGCTGTCAAATACATATTTTTTTGTAACAGAGAAATTGGAGTGACTTAACTGTCCATCCGTGTGGTAAGTACTGCATAAATTGTGGCATATTTATAGATTATCATGCAGCCATCCAAAAGAATGCAGTAAATCTATATTGTGGAGGGACCTGGAAAGATGCTCATGATACATTAGAGTGAAAAGAGCAAAAAGCAGGTTGCAGACCAACAGATAAAATAAGATTCCACTTCTGGGAAAAAATGGAGTATATGTGCATACATATGTATGTATGTGCATATTCATTTATTTATTCAACAAATATTCATTGACTCTGCTCCCAAGGTCCCAGCAACTGCTCTCTTCTGGTAGAGGACAATAAACAAACAAGTAGATAAAAATTTTCAGGAAGTACTGAATGCTAACAAGAAAATAGAATGTAAAGTAATATAATAGTGTGAGACAGGGTCAATAACAAATATCTGTTAGCTCGCGCACACACACACACACACAAACACACACGCCTGTGCGTCTGTGCACACACCTGGGAAGGGAACATACCCAAAGAGACAGAAATGGGATGAACAGAAAGGAAATTTTCATTTCTTTGTATACTTTTTTAAAATAGCAAAATCAATGGGCAAATTTTTTGTTTTGTACTTTTTTCAAATAAAAAATGACTGATTGCTTTCTATAACTAGACTTGAGAAAATCAATTTACCTCAGAAGTAGGTTTTCTTTCTTTCAGAAAATATCCAGATAAGACCCCTTAGTTTCAAGGAGATAAATAAGTCTCCATTCCAGGAGAAAACAGTGAAGTCACCAAATATTAGAAAGCAGAATGAGATTAAATAGTACATGTTCTGTTTAGTGACATACACTGGGTACAGATATAACAGGACCATGCCCCTACAGAGCTAGAAGATTTATTTTTCTACCTAAAAAGGATTAAACTACATTGCTGCCAAATATTAGGTGGTTCTTGGAAGACCTATGTAATTCCATTTCCACCTCCATCTCTGCCTTTGCTCTCAAAAGACTGAGTCCAAACTTTGTTTTTGGACTCGTGTGGGGATAAATGGATCTGTCTCCCTTTGCTCCAGGTTGGAGACATTGAGGTAAGACTGCACAGAGGAATGGGGCTTGGCACAGAACCCCCCAAACCACCCTATAGCTTCTCTGGGGCCTTGGCTAAGCAGTGGGTCGGGGGATATCCATGAGGGAGGAGGCGGGGTGCCGTGGGGCAGAGAGGTGTCCCCCTGAAGGAAATAAGTACTGCTCAGTCAAAACTCCTGGGGCACTAGGAGAGGTGGTAGATTTTGGAGGCTTCCTTCTCAGTCTGAGGCAGAGAGGTTGGAGGTCCGTTGAGAGGAGGAGAAACGAGCTTCTCTTGGGGCAGGGGAAGGGACTCTGAGCTGCATCCAGCTGTGTGGAAGCCTCCAGGGCTATGCAAGGACCCTGATGTTGGGTTTGGTCTGCAGTTTCAAATATAGCTACTGTCTGCAGTATGCTTCTGCAAAGTACACAGTTCAGGCACCTGTATTCTCTCTCTCTTCCTCCCCCTCCCTACCTCTCTCTGCCTCTCAAAGGTTACTCTAATCTTGTCCACAGCAGTTTTGGTGGAGAAGTAGGGCTGAAGCAGGTGGGCACTAGGTCAAAGAGAGTGTGGGAGGCGAGGAAGTGGTGATGACAAAGCTTGGACAAGAAGGAGACAGAGCAGGAACTAGGCAGCGGCCCAGGTCCCACACAGGAGTCGAGTGGGTTTAGAGGCTGAAGGTGGTGAGCACCAAAGAGAGGGAGATGGAATATACAGATCGAGGGCTAATTGATGGGCCGGGGGCAAGCAGTGTAGGGGCAGACTCAAGAGCCCAGTGGAAGAGAGGAAGGGCACTTCACCTCTGGGCTCTGCCCAGGAGGAAGGGCTTAGAGGAGGTTACAGTGGAGGCAGTAAACAGAACACTGACGGCGCTGACGCAGGAGAGTCTACCTTCTCCATCAAGTGTCTGCAGACAGCGGAGAGGGCAGAGAATGGAGGGAGCGTGTGAGGGGCTGGGCCAGGACAAGAAAACCAGGCTGCAGAGTGGCTCTAGGGTCCTCCTAACGCCCAGGACTGTGAAAGGGACCCAATTTTGGTGATAGGGTGACTTTCTCTGGCAGGGATGGAGACTGTGGGGTTGAGCTAAGATGGTGGATTTGCTGGTGCCACTGTTGTGGACCGGGAGAGCGGCAAAGGAGCTGAGGGTACAAGGAGGGAAGCAGGCATAGCTGCATGCTCTAGGCTGGGTAGGGAAACAGGCCAGGAGGCTGACTGACCAGGAGAGCAGGACGGGATCAGGGCCTGGTGGCCTGTAAGGCCTGTAGTAAGCTGGAATGGGGAAGGTTATAGCCAGAGAAGAGAAAATCTGAACCTAGTTTGCTGATTTGTGGGAAGCAAAGCTGACAGTCACAAGGTCCTCAGGAAATGCTTGTCAGTAAACTACAGAAGGCAAAGCATTTTCTAAACTGTTAGCTTATCACGAATCTGTGCAAATACAGAAAATAATCTACTGTATGTTACTGACAATTCCTAGACAGAGAATCACCTTTGAGATGTAGCAGTCCAACTAACAACTAAACAATGCTACAGGCCAAGACCGGTTTGGCTCAGTGGATAGAGCGTCGGCCTGCGGACTGAAAGGTCCCGGGTTCAATTCTGGTCAAGGGCATGTACCTGGGTTGCGGGCACATCCCCCGTGGGAGATGTGCAGGAGGCAGCTGGTCGATGTTTCTCTCTCATCGATGTTTCTAACTATCTATCTCTCTCCCTTCCTCTCTGTAAAAAATCAATAAAATATATTAAAAACAAAACAAAACAAAACAATGCTACAGAATAAAGTACGGAATAAGGGAGGTTAGGTGAACTCAGTTACTGCCCATCACCATGTAAAAAACTATGTTCTTCTTCTAGTGATGCCTGAAGGGGTGTGGAGGAGCCGGCAGCACACCAGAGGACACCCAGCCCTCCCTCCCGAGCACCCACCTTAAGCAGCTCCACAGCCACGAGCACCTCCTCGGCAGGAACCTTATTATCCCCGAGCACGTTGGAGAGAGTCCACTTGAGGGGCTTCAGCAGGAAGACTCCGACCCCCCAGGAGATCCAGCTGCTGTCTACACTAGCCATGAAGTCTGACTCCCGCTGCAGCTCCCCGCGACTGCAAAGAAAGAAAAGGGCATACAGTAGGCGTAACGCAATGTCCCATTCCAGTCCCCACATACCCCTGACCCCAAATGAGGAATCTGTCATGACCATCAACACCATTTAGTAGGCAGTTACCCTGTGCCAGCTACGACGAGCAGCTACTATGTTTATGCTCCGGCTCTCAGCCTCACAGCTCATTTTAGCTAATGAGAAGACGGAGGGGCTGAGAAGGTGGAGAGGCCAAATCTAGACTATAATTTGGCTCCAAAACAGAAGCTCTCCACTAAGACTGCAGAGGCACAGGGGCTGCAGGGCCTATGATGAAACTTACAAATGGAGCTCAAAAACGATAAAAATGAAAACAACAGTAATGGATCACTATGAAATGCAAGTCATAAGAATACAAAGAATTCAGAGAAAGGGTTTTCTGCTGTTCTCATGGTACTGGTAGTAGTAGCTACATTTACGGATGCTTACCATGGGCTAGTCACCATGCTAAGGGCTATGCTAGTCACCATGCTAAGGGCTATGCAAGGAATATCTCTTTAAATCCTCACAATAAACCTAGGCACAATAATCATCACCATTTTATAATTGGTCAAATGGTCAAACTAAGCACACAATGTGTCCGAGGTCAGAGAATTTTTCCATTGTCGCAGAATTTAGCAAGTGGCAGAACTAGGATTTGAGCCCAGGCCACTGGCCCTCAAGCAAAGCTGTTAAACTACTGTGCTATGCTGCTTCCGCGGAGCATATCTTCCTCCGAAATTCTTCAGGTTCCAGATGCCGTCAAACACTAGGAAGTGCCAGCAGAGTGCCAGCAGTCAGGAAAGGAGAAACTGAGGAATTAAAGGACTCTGCATCGGCAGTGGTAGGGGATGGTCCAGCTGCAATAAGGAAGCCCAGACCGGTCCTGTCCCTCAGTGACCTCTTCAGCTACCGTCTCCCCTGCACCCCACTTCGGGCATGTACTTAAACTCTGTCCACAGCACACTTGCTCAGAAAAGAGAAGTTTCAGAATAGCTTGTTCCATCCACGTCAGCCAATGGGAAGGCGCTGGGGAGAAGGGAGACTTTGGAATCAGGAAGAACAGCAAGCTAAAAGCATCGCAAAGTTGATGGACTTCTTCTTCATTCACTGAGGGAGGCAGGCACGGGGCTGGCGAGGCTGCTCTCAGGATGATACATACAATGTGATGTGCAAATGGTTGAGAATCAGAAGACGAGGGTCCGGTCCTGGCATTATCTCTAAGTAGCTGAGTAACCCCCAGTACATCGTTCGGTCTGTTTGAGGCTGTTTTTTCTGACTGCTGAGGGTAGTTCCATCATCTTGTCCACGGGACTGCTGAGGAGGTCAGAGGAAAGGTCTATGCGAAGTATCTGCACACTGAAGCGCTATTCATCTGTTAGGTACCCATGTTATGGCCTCGGGTACCCAAAACGCTGCACCTGTGGCACAGGCGGCACCTGCAGGACCTCCTCAGAGCGCCGGGACATTCAGCAAGGCCCTCACCATCCGGCAGGTACTTTGCTCCAAAGAGACTGCGCCAAGGACAAGCCAAGATAGGCCAGGAGCACGGCTTGTGCTTGGGGCTGTTGGCAAGATCCCTACAACCTGGCCTCTTCCCCAGCACGGCCCCCTTCTTACCTCTGACCTTCCTTCCTTCAGTAAACCTCCCGGACCTGTTCCGGGGTGATGACATGTGGGAGGCCCTAGGAAATAACCCCAGAACCGGGTTCCGGTCCAGACAGATCCCCGCCACCTCCGCCAGGCGGGCTTCTCCGCTTACCGCCGGGATCGCCTCTAATCGGACCATCCCCAGACCCGTCTCCATCTCCCCGCGGACACCCCTACCCCGGGCGCCTGGTCGTCCTCTTTCTTCGCCTATGAACCAACACGGAGGCTGCTCTGAGGCAGACCCCGGCTGGGCGCGGTGCGTGCGCCATCGGGGAACCCGCGGACCCCTGCCCTCGGGAGCCGCCCCCAGCCCAGGCCCCGGCCCCGGCCCGGGCCCGCCCTCACCGCAGCAGGTCCTGCAGCACCGTGGCCAGCCCCAGCGGGACGCTACCCTTGCGCTGGAAGGCCTCCTGCAAGTCCCGCAGTCGCAGGCGCACCACCCCCTGGCGGCGGCTGTGGCTCAGCACCAACGGCGCCCAGAAGCCCATCTTGCTGTCCCAGTCGGTGCTGTTCACCTCGCGACTCCTTTTGAAGGCGGAGAACAGGAAGGACATGCGCTCCTCGTCCTCCTCCCACTCGGGGGGCAGCAGGCCCGCCGGGTCTCCCCCGGCCGGGACTTCGGCCTCCCGCTCCGGGGACCACATCGGAACCCCAGCCCCGCCAAGACTCTGAACACCAGCCTGGCCCGGGTCCCCTTTCGCCCTCGTTCCCTCCCGGCTTCCGTTCTTTGACCACCGCCTCCTCTGTCATTACGTCACCATCTCCCCGCGTGAAATAAGTCTCACACGTCCTCACGGCGCATGCGTGGCCCCGCCCCCTCTGCGCCTAGAAGCGGAATGATGACTCTATTTGCGTGGCCCGACCCCCCGCCGTCTTTGTGAGGAAAGAAAAGCTTTGCGCCTGCGTAGCGTGCAGGTGCGTAGAGCGCACCCTCGAGCCGTGGTTTGTGGGAGCATTTTATGGAGGAAAATGATAATGCCTCCACCTTGTGGTTTCGGATAGTGGAACCGCAGTTCCGCTAAGGGGCGCCAGAGGCTCTCGGATGGCCCGGGGGGATCGCCATGTACCGCGGCTCGACCTACCTACGTTCAGATGTTTAAACCCAACCTACTGCACTTCCTTTCCCGGAGGTCGGCGGTCGGCGGGCCGCCCCCGCCGTGACAGTGCACACGCTGACTGAGAGGTATGTTAGCGTCGGCTACTCTTACTGCGGGCAGTGTAAGAAACGTCCAAACATACAGAGAAATTTTCCGAGTTTATTTGAGCCAGATTGACAATTGCCTGGAAGCAAAATCTTAACGGAATGAGAAAGTGCTTCAGAGAATGGCAGTTTTGCAGTTTGTTTTATCAAAGGAGGAGGCACAAGGAGGGTTACATGGTGGTAGGTCAGGGAGGCGGGAGAAAGCAAAGCAGGGAAATCTCAGAGTGGATAAAACAGCGGTTCTCAACCTGTGGGTCGAGACCCCTTTGGCGATCGAACGACCCTTTCACAGGGGTCGCCTAAGACCATCCTGCATATCAGATATTTACATTACGATTCATAACAGTAGCAACATTACAGTTATGAAGTAGCAACGAAAATAATTTTATGGTTGGGTCACAACATGAGGAACTGTATTTAAAGGGCCAGAAGGTTGAGAACCACTGGGTTAAAATGAAGATACAAATACTTCTATTACATTGGCGGATACAGGATGGTTAACAATTGATATTTAAAGCACATACAGATGGTATTTGGGCAACAAGATATTGATGAGGGGTTCGGTGGTCTCATGCTTTGGTGGGAGATTGCGCCCTGAGAGTCTGGGAAAAGGGGGTTACTCTGACTTCCCAAAGGTGTGTTAAGGCACATACAAAAAGACAAGAGGCCCAGTTAGGATAAAGACTGACCTCTTCAAGGGAGACACCAGCCTAGGTGTAAGTACTCACCATGACTCGTTTTTAGTTAAGTTTTAAGTTCAGACTGTCCCATATGGTTACTTTCAGCCTCTGAGTTTGTAAGGCTGCCATGCAGGCCTCCCTGAGTTTGCCAGGTTAATATTGTCCACACTCCCTACTGCATGTGTTTCCTTCTCAGTATCAATATTCTGATTTAGGAGCTCAGTTCTAATCTTCCTTAAAACCTTCTCAGACAGTCCTGATGCACTGTTGGTCTTTTTCCTGGGCTGTACAGTTTAGCACTTACTATTCTGTGTCCTGTTCCCTCTTCCCCGAGGGAAGGTGCAATGACATATAGTATCTTGCTATGACATATAGTGGTGCTGAAGAAATATGTCATAAACTGAAAAGTGCATAACTTCAACCTCGCCCTTCTAATATCTTAGAACTGTGTTAGAATGAGAGCTCATATATATAAGATTCTCACAAACAACATATGAGCAATGAACATGTGTCCAGTGTGTGAAGAATAAATTGATTTTCTTTTTCGTTGAACTATTTAAAAGGTGAAAGGGATTTGTTTTATGGAACCATGTAACAGCCACCAGAGTTGAATATGAATCTGGCCTCTGCCGCTCACTGGCTGTGTGACCCTGGAGATAAAATAAATCAATAAACCAGAAGGTAGAGGAATATGTTAAATGAAACCTGAGATTGCAATCAGCAAGACCATAGAGAAATATCAATGAATATAAATTTCATACTCTGTACTCAGCACTCAGCACTTAGATATCATTCAGTTGTTTTAATGAATAAATAAATGACCTTGCCCAGCCAGTGTGGTTCAGTGGTTGAGCATTGACCCATGAACCAGGAAGTCATGGTTCAATTCCTGGTCAGGGCGCAAGCCCGAGTTTCGGGGTCAATCCCCAGTAGGGGGCATATAGGAGGGAGCCAATCGATGATTCTCTCTCATCATTGATGTTTCTGTCTCTCCCTCTCTCTGCAATCAATAAAAACATGTATATTTTTTTTTTAAAAATGACCTAGATCCACATTCTGGTTTCATCTCTCTTAATAAATAAGCTGCATGACCTCAGACAGGCCAATTTCCTCTCAGAGGCCTCCGCGGTGAATGAAAGGTTTCTGCACTATGATCTTGAGTTTTTTTCTAAATGACAGCTGTTTCTTTTATAGTTGGTAGTCTCGATGTTGTTGTGGGAGACACAACAGGTCTGTACCTTACGCCGCCATCTTGGTTCTCCTTGAGTTTTTTTTCTAGCACCCACTCTCTAATTCCAAATTAAGATCTACTGTAGATGTGTAGACTGCAGGAGCTCTGGAGAGTTCAAAGAACAAAATGTCACCTAAACATCACCATATCGTGGCAGTGATATTTATTTGCTGATGCCCCAATGTGTTTGTGGTCAGACACCTATGCAGCCTCACTCCAGCCATCATGCATGAACTTGTCTGAGGCTTCAAACACTGCAGCACTTCCGTAAAGCTGCACGATGCTCCATGTCCTCTCTCCTGCTTGCTGGGGATGCCTCATTATCTTTACAGAAATATGCATGCCCTGTCACATTATCCAGTTATTTCTAGTTCTTATCTCTAGGAGTTACAGCCTCAGGACTTGGCTAAAGGAGGAATGAGACAAAAAATACATTGTACATAATCTATGAGATATAGAGGAGAAGAAGCTGGGCTTGTTAATATTCAGGCACCACTGTGTTCTGGAAGCCTTTCCTCCTCCTGCTCCAGGCTGGATTCAATGTCCTTCCTTTTCTTTCTACCACCTTGTATACCTCTCTGTCATTTTATGTGCCACATTATTTTCTGTTTCCATTTATGAGCCTGTCTCTCTGACTAGCTTAAGAGACTTGATGGCAGAAACAGTGTTCTTAATTTTGTGTATAGCACAGTGCCTGGTACATCCTAAGGATTCAGTTTGTTGAATGAATGAATGAATTTAATTAATCAAACTATGAGTGAAGAAGTAATTCCATCGCCGAAACTGGTTTGGCTCAGTGGATAGAGCGTTGGCCTGTGGACTCAAGGGTCCCGGGTTCGATTCCAGTCAAGGGCATGTACCTGGGTTGCGGGCACATCCCCAGTGGGAGATGTGCAGGAGGCAGCTGATCAATGTTTCTCTCTCATCGATGTTTCTAACTCTCTATCTCTCTCCCTTCCTCTGTAAAAAGTCAATAAAATATATTTTAAAAAAATAGAAGTAATTCCATCAAGGCCTATCCTTTTTCCTAAGAACACTTATCCTATCTAATAATAGAGAAACATGGTAATTAACTGTAACTTTGCTACCCTTCCCATTGGCTAATCAGCGAGATATGCAAATTAATCGCCAGCCAAGATGGCGGTTAACCGCCAACAAAGATAGCGGCTAATTTGCATACTGCAGGCAGGGTAGGACAGCGCAAGCCGCCATCCAGGCCCCCACGTGCGGCCTGGGGCAGGGGCTCAGGCAAAGCAATCGCTGATCGCCTCCCCGGAGCCCTCGCCCGCCAACCGGAGACACGGGGCCCACTCCCGTGTGCGATCTGGGGGCAGGCAGGGGCTGGGGTAAAGGCAAGCGCTGCTGATCACCTTGCTGGAGCCCTCCCCACCCACAGGAGAAACGGGGCCCACTCCCGTGTGCGATCTGGGGGTGGGTGGGGGCTGGGATGAAGGCAAGCGGTGCCGATCACCTCGCCCGAGCCCTTGCCGCCCACCGGAGACAGGTCCCAATGCGATCCGGGGGTGGGCGGGGGCTGGGGCGAAGGCAAGCGGTGTCCATCCCCTCGCCTGAGCCCGAGCCTGCCCACCAGAGACAAGGGGCCCACTTCTGGGCGCCCCTTCCTGCTCGCAGCAGAGAGAGCCCGAGGAGTCTGCGAGCATCCTACCAGCCTTCCAAAGTGTAATAAAGTGCATTTCCGGTGAGGAGAAGCCCGGGCTGGGGGTACGCGGGTGCGGACAGGCGCAGGGGCCCTCCAAGGGCTGGTGGCTTCAGGCCCAGGCTGCGCGGCCAGGCCACTCAATGCGAGCCAGTGCACCTAAGGCCGGAGGTTCGGGCTCTCCCGGCCAGTGCGGAGCTGCAGGCTCGGCCCGCCCCCACATCCTCCTGGGAGTGGGGGGGTCACGCTCATACCACGCGGCTACTGGCCTCCAGCCTGGCTCCCGCCTGGGGTCAGGGTCGGCGCCAAGCACAGGGGAGGCCAGAGGAAGAACCCCAAACCCTTAGCCGGATGGACCTCGGGCCCTGGAGGGAAGGAGGCCGTAGGGGCCAGGAGAGCCTGAGAAGAGGGAAATCCCAGGAGGAGGCACCTGGAAAGTGCAGTGAATTGCAGGAGAGGGTGGAACAGCCACACACTGGCAAACCCTGCCTGCCCTGGGTCAGTGACGCAGGCCCCAAGTGCTCCTGGGCTTTGCCTTGCATCGCGGGGTCACCCTGCCCGTGGGCCGGGCAAGCAAGGGCCACCCCAACCTGTGAAGTTTCGCACAAAGGTTGGGAGGCCACGTTCGGGTGGGTTTGTCAGGCCCAGGGAAGGCGCCTTCGCTCTCTGCGCCAAGACGGTTGCCAAGGGGCCCTCCAGAGACATGTGGTGATTGAACCCAAGCCAGGCTGGAGTCCCGCTCGCACTGAGAGGCAAGTAACTGGGCACCGTGCCCCAAATGCATGGGGAGCACCAGCGGCCTCCTCTCTCCTGCCCTAGAAGGTGGGAGGCCTGGTGGGATTCACAGGTAAAACGTAGACACTGTTGGGTCCCAGACCCCTTTTCTTTGCACACACACACCACCCGCCCCACCCCCTCCCCACCATTCTGTGAGGCTAAGGTTCCTGAGCCCAGATCCAAAGACTGCAAAGGGAACAATTCTCCCGGTGAGAACATGCAGGCACCTCCTGCCAAGGCGGCCAAGTTTGACAAACAGCGCCTCCTGGGGTGGGGAAAGCAGAGTGCCGCGGAGCAGCGCTGGCTCCCAGCTATCCCGGGGTCAGGTGGCCACCGCGGCTCCCTGCTGGCCCCAACAGCTGGGCGGTGACC